CGCCTTTTTACTCTAGAGAATTGGTGAGGAAATGTGTTATATCCAAAACATTACCTTCCTCTTTGTATACTTCCAGAGAGCAGAAGTAGTGTCTAGTGCTGACAGACTGCTAACAAATAATTTGAATATTAGGTTGAATAGAGGTAATTTATTGACTGAAATCTCGTTTAGAAGAATAAAGATCTATATCCATTCGAGCTGATACTGTATTGGTGATATTGCCCTATTTCTAACCTCGCTACAATAAACTGATTTAAACATCCCACAATTCGTAACGTTGCAAGATTTGTGGGAATCTCAACTCAGGGCTCGCATTATTTAATCCTTTGAAATACAGAAACGCGAGTGTAAACCGAATGAAACGGGAAAAACGGCAGATTTTATTGACCTTTTTCTTGATGCAAGAGCTGAGCAGGAGTTTGACAATCACTCTGATTTCTCGAAGAGTGTTCATGTAAGTGCAATTTAAAGTCAGCAAATAAATTGATCAGGCTTACTGTACTGCTCAATTAACAGTTTTAAGGTTGAGAAACAGCTGACCAGAGAAGAGATTGGAGCTCAGTGCTTTGTATTTATTGTGGCTGGGTTTGACACGACAGCCAGCTCGCTCGCATATGTCACTCACTTATTAGCAAAGAATCCCGATGTACAACGGCGCCTTCAGGACGAAATAGATTTCCACTACAGTGATGTGGGTTATTTGTTTCGTTATCTAATTGAAACACATCTCCTTTCAAGGCACCGGCCCTGAAGTTGACTCGTGTTGATATCTAATGACCTTTGGCAAAAATCTCAGGGAACTGGCTGAAAATATATATCTTAGGCGATACCTGTTCACGACTACAATTTGATATTTTTAGACAATCAGCTACGAGTCTCTTGGCGCTATGAAATACCTCGATTGTGTAGTGAAGGAAGGTCTGCGTATGTATCCACTAGCCAACTTGTAAGTACATCAAAAATTATTTTCTTTGTGTTCTATACTGCCATTGAAGACATTAGGTTGTACGGGAAGTCTTGTATGATTTTTTTTCAAGTCCTCGAGTTTTGTTCTTTAGTTAGATGTTCTATGATGGCTCGCCAGAATTTCGTGAGAGTTTCCAAGCCCTGTAGCTAAGGGCATAGCACGAATTTTGTGCATAAACTAGCAGTTTGTGGCTTCAAATACACAACTACAGCTGCAGGCAATTTGCTTCCATGAGTGTTGGCAAGCACCAACGATATGAATCTCAAAGATAATATCAGCATTGTCAGGGACTCCTTTTATCTATTCAATTGTCAAATGCGGCATTAACCACCTTATATGTGGAGACACTAGAGCTAATTTGTTATTTTATTTTACTGGAATGCAGATAGAATGGTCCAGTTAGAGGCGTTGTTTCCAGGCAACAGCGACCGCTCTCAAATATGCCCAATAAGTGCAGGAATGACTTGAGGTTGAGCGGTAAAGAATATATGATTT